CGATCCCCCACAGACGTCCCGAATATCGTGACCGTACGTCGAGCCGTTTAGATTTGTGCCCAACTGTTGACGGACGGACGGACGCACGCACGGACGGACGGACGGACGATCATGCGATTCTACAAGCTGCATCTGACTATGTCAGATGAGCTAAAAACACACCGGATGTGTAGCACTGCAGCACTCCATTACCATCAACAAATTGCACATTGGACAGAACGAGGTTTCTGCTCCACAATGTACTACTACTTACAAACGATACACGTATACTGTTACTAAGCGATATTACAATTACATAGGTACACCGAAACGGTGGACATGCTGGCTTCACTATAGCTCTAGTAACTATAGCCCGCGTGCAGTTGCCGCAGGGCTATAGGATCTTCTATTACGGATGCTCGGGACCAACTTAGTAACGGTTACTTGCGGCTATAAAACGTCTGTGATAGGCAATTAATGCCTTTTATCCGAAGTGAATATGTCTTAAGTTATATCCGCAACTAAAATTTAACCTTAACTATCGTTGATATGGTCTGCTTGCGGTATTTCTTGTGAACAAACATTTGATTTGCGAACTTCAAACAGCCATTTTGGTGGCGCTGCAGCAGCGCCAGTCAGCGGGTTGGTCCCTAGCATTCGTAATAGAATGTCCTATAGTCCTGCGGCAACTGTATGCGGGCTATAGTACTAGAGCTAGCTTCACTATAGCCCGACCAGGCTGTGCGACCGATTGTCTATAATATACGGTCTTCTAACCCGGCACAAGGATAGAGAGCATGTCAGGGCTGCCAACTCTCACGCTTTGACCGTGAGACTCATGCATTTTGACCAAATCTCACGCTCTCACGCTAATCTTACAATATCTCACGCACAGCAAAAAAATGCTGAGATATCTCACGCATGAATATCTCTTCATGAATAAAACGCTGAAATATCTCACGCACAGCAAAAAAAATCTTACAATATCTGAAAACAGTCACTTTAGTATGCACCAAATTGCACAAATTGAAGTTATAAATCGGGTAAACCTTCCTCCCACACCCACCCTGGCAGCCCTGTGTTACTGTTGGCAGCCCTGGCATGTCCAGTAATATTAATAAACATCATACTATCCTATCACCGTCCTGAACATCATCTCTATCCTTGAACCTCTAACCCTAGCAAGACCGTTTCTTGGAGCTAGCTTCACTAGCCTGCGGCAACTGTACGCGGGCTAGCCTATAATAGAATAGGCTATAGACTAGTACTAGTAGTACTAGTACTAGTAGTAGTAGTAGTAATAGTGGCCACCGTAATAGTTACTAATACTAATAGTACTACTACTAGTACTCAGTACTAGTAGTACTACTACTAGTATAGCTCCAGGAAACGGTATTGCTAGGGTTAGAATACGTTGACGTTTGATACGTGTATTGACGTACGTATTGACGTTAGTCACACAGCCTGGTCGGGTTATCTACTACGGTACTACTACTAGTACTACTACTAGGCCTACTACTAGTACTACTTCACTAGTGACTTTGCTTGACGGCTTTGCTTGTCAGTGACATACAGCAAGAGATTGGTTTAATTCTTTGTTTTAACGTTTTAAATTCACTGAAACATAAGATAGGTCACGCATTTTATAAAGTAGTCAAAGCGCCATCTCTAGGTTCATATAGGAACTAAACATTCATTTTCAGCCAAAACTTTTTCACCCTCCCCAAAGCACAAAATGTGGATATACGGGAGAGAGAGAGAGAGAGAGAGAGAAAGGAGCGAAGAAGGCGAGAGAAGGATTAAACAGAGACAAGATCTTAAAAAAAGGAAAAGAATCGACAGGCAGTACGAGATTGTGCTTGCTTCAGCATAAAAATGGTTAGAACGCCCGTAGACTGTTATCTATGAAACCAGTGTTCGAATCCTGGAAAATTCTCTTGCTGAAATATTTCTAACCTTTGATCGCAAACCAATCCAAAGCCACGGTAAAAGATACGTAGGATCGATCATGTGACAGACAACAGGTGGTTAACACGTTTCTATATATTCCAGTGCTCGACAAACTACTACCCATGTGGCTACAACGCGTTACACCTACCAATCCACGAAAGCTGTGAAACCCGCTGGGAAACAGAACAGGTCGCCGTTCATACCAGGTCAGGTACACCGTATACCACTCCTCCACCGCTGGGAGCGTGAACAGACAGGTGGCCGTTCTGTTTCAAAGTTCACCTTTATTCCAGAGAGCAGCGTAGAGAATACACCAACCGTATCCCCACCCAACCACGGAAGCTGTTACCCACTGCACACCAGAACAGGTGCGAACCCGTTTCTATACAGCGTTGCTGACACACAGACACGAAAAAAACGAGAACAGTTCGTGCTGATCATTCTATTAAGCACAAAATCATAATTTCGTACTTGCTGCCTTTTTTATCCTGAGTGTACAACCAACGACTCTATCCCACGATCCACGCAAGCTGTGAAGCATGACCCTGTGAACAGATAACATACACAGACAGGATGCGTTCGTTCTTACCACAATATATATGTTCGTATCGATCGTTCTGTTTAATCGGCCACACAGAGGCTGGAGGCGCAGATCACAGGGGGATGTCAAACCTGCCTACCACATTATCTCACAGTGTTTCTGCCGAGGTTGACTCTTTCCCGTGGGACGCGATTGCAGGTTTCGGGAACTGAAAAGCCAAAATTGCCACACGTGAAACCGGGGCAGGAAAACACCGGGCTTCGCAGCTACGACTGCTTAAGAGAACTACGCGGAACAAAAAACAGATTCGTGTGACCAACAGAGCATTCCGCCTAACGAGCAGCACCCTAGGAACCAGAGGCGGGGTGGGGTACCGAAATAAGGGAGAGAGGAGGGAGACAAACGGCCGGCACCCTACACGCTCCGACGCTCTCTCAAGATCGCCGGCAGATGCTGCGGAAGGGAAATCCGTGTCGGGAACTGGCCATCTGTAAGACAGTCACGACACACAATGGGGCGTCCGTGGGCGGCGTCGAGGAGGCGGGCAACCGCCAGCTGTAGGACAGTCACGTACAACATGGTGCGCGTTCGCTGGGCGGGCGTTGTGGGAGGCGGGTTGCACGCGGCGACATAAAATCATGGTGGGGCGCGCACTGACCCTGTAGGGGGAGGTGTGCGGTGAGCGACAAAAAAGTCGTCCACACGTCCGCACATCGCACGACGCCCACACAGCACACACACACATCACAGCACACACACAACAACACAAAAGCATAAATATATACAAAAATACTTTGTGATTGCAACTGCGGGGCCCAGCGTGGCAGCCTTCTCTCTCCTCTCTCTCTCGTCTCTCCTCTCTCTCTCTCTCTCGTCTCTCTCTCTCCTCTCATCTCTCTCTCTCTCTCCGTCTCTCTCTCCTCTTCTCTCTGTCTCTCTCTCTCGATCTCCTCTCAGCTCCTCTTCTCTCTCCTCTCTCTCTCTCTCTCTCTCTCTCTCATCTCTCTCTCTCTCTTCTCTCATCTTCTCTCTCTCTCTCTCTCTCATCTCTATCCTCTCCTCTCTTCCTCTCACTCTCGTCTCCTCATCTCTCTCTCTCTTCTCTCTCCTCTCTCTATCAATCTCGCTCTTTCTCTCTCTCTCTCCCGGCTCCCTCTCTCTCTTCTCTCTCTCTCTCACTCGCTCCTCTCTCTCTATCTATCTCCGCTCTTTCCTCTCTCTCTCTCCCTCTTCTCTCTCAAACTCGCTCTCTCTCCCTCCTCGTATCTCCTCCCTCGCTTGTCGTCGTCTCTCTCTCTCTCTGCGTGCGCTCTCCCTCTCTCCTAGTTAAAAACCCAAGCGAAGCGTTGGCTATATAAAAGGCATCCACGACAGTCAAGCTAAGAATCGACGCACAAAATCCCACATAAAAACAAGACTCGGCACGCACGCAGCCGACGTTACCACGGCGACGAAACAAACAATAGAGCATTCCCGCAGGCGGGAGGCACGGCACTGGAGGGTGTTACCATAACTTAGCACTGTACTGCTGCAACC